TAGTCGTAGTAGTAGTATTTCTAGTAGTAGTAGTAGCAGTAGTAGTAGTAGTAGTAGTAGTAGTAGTAGTGGTAGTAGCTGTCGTAGTAGAAGTAGTATTAGTTTCAGGAGCAGGAGCAGTAGCAGTAGTAGTAGTACGTAGTCGTAGTAGTAGTAGTAGGCGCCGTCGTAGCCGTAGTAGTCGTAGTAGTATCAGTTGTCGTCGTAGTATTAGTAGTCGTTGTAATAGAAGTAGTAGTGGTAGTAGTAGTTGTAGTAGTATTAGTTGTACTAGTCGTAGTAGTCGTAGTTGTAGAAGTAGTTGTTGTTGTAGTTGTAGTAGTATTACTAGAGCCAATACTTCTACGATTCGTAGTTGTAGTACTCGTAGTAGTAGTAGTAGTTGTTGTTGTTGTTGTAGTAGTTGTAGTGGTAGTAGTAGTAGTAGTAGTAGTAGTAGTAGTCGTCGTCGTCGTGGTAGTCGTAGTTGTAGTCGTAGTAGGCGTAATAGTAGCAGTAGTAGTAGTAGTTGTTTTAGTAGCAGTAGTAGTAGTAGTAGTAATAATAGTACTAGTATAAGTACTTGTAGTAGCCGTACTAGTAGTAGTAGCAGTCTCAGTAGCAGTAACAGTAGCATTTGTATTCGTAGTCGCAGTAGTAGTAAAAGAAGAAGAAGTAGTAATCATTGTAGAAGTAGTTGTAGTAGTAGGCGTAGTAGTGGTAGTCGTAGACGTAACCGTAGTCGCAGTCGTAGCCATGGCCGGTGTAGGGGTAGTAGTAGTAGTTCTAGTAATAGTAGTAGTAGTAGTAGTAGTTGTTGTAGTGGTATTCGTAGTAGTCGTTGCAGTCGTAGTAGTCGTAGCCGTAGTTGCCGTAGTATTCGTAGTATTTGTAATCGCCGTATGGGTCGTAGTCGTTGTTGTAGTAGTAGTCGTCGCAGTAGTAGTAGTAGTGGTAGTAGTCGTGGTAGTAGTCGTCGTAGAAGTAAAGGCAGAAGATGAAGTAGTAGCAGTAGTAGTAGTGGTAGTAGTAGTGGTAGCAGTAGTAGTAGAAGTAGTAGTAGCAGTAGTGGTAGTGTAGTAGTACTAGTGGTCGTCGTAGGAGTCGTAGTCGTAGCAGTCGTCGTCGTAGTAGTAGTCGCAGTACTCGTAGTAATAGTCATAGTAGTCGTCGGAGAAGTATTAGTAACCGTCGCAGTAGCAATAGCAGTAGCATTAGAAGTAGTCGTACTAGTAGTAGTCGAAGTATTAGAAGTAGTAGTTGTAGTACTCGTAGTAATAGTAGTCGTGGTCGTAGTCGTAGTATTGGTCGTAGTCGTAGGCGTCGTTGTCGTCGTAGACGTAGTCGTAGTTGTAATAGTAGTAGTAGCAGTAGTAGTAGCAGCAGTAGCAGTAGTAGTAGAAGTTGCTGTAGACATAGTCGTAATAGTAGTAGTAGTAGTAGTGGTAGTAGTAGTAGTAGTTGTAGTATTAGTAGTAGTAGTAGTAGTAGTAGTAGTAGTGGTGGTAGTAATCGTGGTAGCCGTAGTCGTAGTAGTCGCAGTTGTAGTAGTAGTCGTTTTCGTAGTAGTAGTAGTTGAGGTAGCCGTAGTAGCAGTAGAATCGTAGTCGTAGTCGTAGTAGTAGTAGTAGTAGTAGCCGTAGTAGTAGCAGTAGTGTCAGTTGTAGTAGGCCTAGTAGTAGTAGTAGTAGGAGTAGTAGTAGTAGTAGTAGTAGTAGTCTAGTCGTAGTAGATGTAGGAGTCGTAGTAACCGTGGTGGTCGTAGCAGTCGTAGTAGCACTAGTAGTAATATTTCACGTGAAGTAGCAGTAGTAGTAGTAGTAGTAGTAGTAGTGGTAGTCGTACTAGGCGTGCTAGTTATATTAGTTGTAGTACCAGTAGTACTAGTAGTTGCCGTCGCAGTAGTAGTAGCAGTCGTCGTCGTATTTGTCGTAGTAGTCTTAGTAGTCGTAGAAATAGTAGTAGCAGTAGTAGTACTAGTACTAGTATTAGTACTCGTAGTAGTAGTAGTAGTAGTAGTAGTAGTAGTAGTAGCAGCAGTAGTAGTAGTAGTAGTAGTAGTAGTACTAGTAGTTCTAGTAGTAGTCATAGCAGCAGCAGTAGTAGTAATCGTAGTAGTAGTAGTAGTAGCAGCAGTAGTAGTAGTAGTAGTAGTAGTACTAGTACTAGTACTAGTACTAGTATAGTAGTAGTCGTAGTAGTAGTAGTAGTAGTAGCACGAGTAAGTGCCGTAATAGTCGTAGTAGTAGTAGTAGTAGTAGTAGTAGGAGTGGTAGTCGTACTAGACGTGCTAGTCGTACAAGTTGTAGTACTAGTAGTACTAGTAGTTGTCGCCGTAGTAGTCGTAGTACCAGTCGTCGTAGTAGTTGCCGTAGTAGTCGTAGTAGTCGTAGTAGTAGAAGAAACAGTAGTAGTAGTACTAGTACTCGTACTAGTAGTAGTAGTAATAGTAGTAGTAGTAGTAGTAGTAGTAGTCGTAGCAGGAGTAGTAGTAGTAGAAGTAGTAGTAGTAGTAGTAGAA